TGCCTGATAGGCACTTATTTGCTAAAAAAATGGTGTGAATAACTATGAAACAGAGAGAACTGTTACAAAATGATGCAGTGAAATATTAGAAGTCAAGGACATTATTTGAGTAGAAAAATGAGGGGTCCCAAGTCAAACCGAATTCTTACTTGATTTGATACAAATATGTTTTAGAAATTAGATATATAATTGTTGGGTTAATGGCCTACCAGGGTCGGCCCATCAACTCCTAGGGACGAACGTAGCCCTGCATAGCCAGGCCCCAGGACCCAAGGGCCAGGGGACGAACGTAGCCCCGCATAGCCAGGCCCCAGGGCCCAAGGGCCAGAGGACATACGTAGCCCAGCATGGCCAGGCCTCAGGGTCCATGGGCCAGAGGACGTACGTAGCCCCGTGGGACCAAGCTCCAGGGCCCAAGTGCCAGGGGACGTACGTCCACGGTAGCCAGGCCTCAAAGCTCAAGCGCCAGAGGACGTACGTAGCCTCCGGAGGACCAAGCCTCAGGGCCCAAGGGCCAGGGGACGAGCATCTTGTGGACTACGCTGAAGGGCCCAAGCTGCCACCAGAGGGCTGAGTCCAGTTTAGGGGACGGACGTCCCCCACGCTATGGCGGGAAACCAAGATCTTGGCGGGAAGCGCATTAAATGCAGGAGATTTGGTAGTTGGGATCATGTCACCCACAGCCGGCCACGTCAGCCCCCCCAATCACCATGGGATACTATAAATAGTCGCATTTATTTCATTGTAAAGGGTTCGTACTTCAACACTCTAGAATTGTAATAGCATCAATGGCACGTAGTTTAGCTCAGTACGTTCGGCCCCTCGGCTTGTAATCGTAAAAGTGAATGAAATATAGTTATTAACCAACTCCCCGTTGTTTAGTGAGTTTGTTTTGCTTTCCACCCATTCGAAACCCCCAGGTTACGTGTTGGGCCTGCGGGTTGAGGGGAATAAACCTCAACACTGGCGCCGTCAGTGGGAAACTGATCAAAAAGCTCTTCTAATCAAGCTCTCCATTTAAAAACCCTAAGAAAACCGTAAGACAAATAAAATGAACACTAACAACGTGGGTAACTCTCAAGACCTATCATCACGACTGGCTCACAGCAGGAGGAGCCGTTACCAGACAACGTGGGCCTAATCCACCAGTCTATGGGGCCGGGGGGGTTTCGGGATACTCACCGACCTGATTCCCCAGGAACTCCGTAGGGACCCCAACGCACTACGGGATATCGCGGATACCATCCGCCGACTAGCGGACCAGCGGGAGGAAGAGCATGTGTACACTGCCAACACCGAGCGCACCCTGCTCTCGCCCATCCGTCCCATGTAGTCTTTCGCTGAGCACACCGGCGAAAATAGCAATCCCCGCCATTCGGTCCATTCCAAGATAACCCAGAACACCCGCTCTCCGGGTATGGGGACGCCGCGGGAGCCAGGCCCTTCAGGGGAACGCAGCGCCACACGGTCCAGGACCCCACGCCGGTCATGCCCCGCGATGGAAGGGCGGCTATGGAACATACCCCCATGGTGGGTGGCGTGACGGCGGAGGCCCGGGTATATCATGGTCAGCATAATCACGGCGTTACACCAAGGGGGAATACCTTGGCATTGATAGTCCCCGTGCCCGTTGGGACCGATCCACGAGATGCCATGCTCATGGACATGCAGAGGCAGATAAATGAGTTGAATCGACGCACGGAGAACACACAAGCCCAGCCCAGGATTGCACTCTCACCCCCTTTCACTGACAGGGTCATGGCGGTAGACATTGCACGGGACGTTCGGCCTCCTGGAACACTAACTTATGATGGGGCCGAGGACCCCAAGGCCCATCTACTATCTTATCAAGGAACGCTCTCTATGTTGGGAGCTTCCGATGAGGCTGTTTGCAGACTTTTCTTCAGCACCCTCAGAGGGCCAGCGCAAGAGTGGTTCGGGCAGCTCAAGCCCGGGTCCATCGACAACTTTGAACAGTTATCCCGGTAGTTCATGGCTCAGTTCGCATCCAGCTCCACGCCTAAGAAACACTTCAGTTGGTTGACGAACGTCCACCAGAATAAGGGAGAATCCATATCTGCTTTCCTTATCGGGTGGAGGGACGAGACCCTGAAGGTGGAGGATCTTCCGGAGAGCACCGGCATCACCCTCTTCACCAATGCGTTGGCAACCGGGGACCTCTATCTGGACTTGAAAAGGAACACCGGGAGCAACTACGCCGAAGTGCTGGCTCGTACGCACAAGTTCCCTGCAATCGAGGAAGAGGCCTCACAGCGGGATGGGGCAGCGGCCCCCGCAGCGCGCAAAGCATCAGACCGATTGGGTCCCGGGCCGGTGGAATCGCCTGCACTCAAGAAGAAGAAGACGGTCGGTGGTTACGTCCCTTGGGCCGCACAGGAATGCCCGGGGGACGGCCCCCATGTGGGCATGGGGCCGGCTCCCTTGGCCTACTCAATGAGTCAAATTTTTGGGGCCATCAAGGACAAGGGGCTGCTCAAGGAGCTGGTACCCACCAAGGGGCTCATGATGGGCCGGGACATGGGAGCCTACTGTGAATATCACCGCAAGCAGGTACACCGTACGGATGATTGCCAAAGTCTGAAGTACGCTATCCAGCAGCTTATCGATATGGGATATCTGGCTGAGTTCACCACGGGCGGAGCCTATCAGGGCTCCTCACAGCAGCATAGAAGGCCCTACAGCTGGCGCCGGGATGATCGGCGAGAGGCCGGGGTCAAGGAGGAGGATTTCCGTCATAACGGCAAGCGGCCAGAGGCATCTCTCGGGCCGGTCGGCTCCAAAAAGAAAATGGAAATCAAGACGATTTTTGGAGGGGCGGAGACTAGGGATACCCCGACGGAGAGAAAGAAGTTCGAGAGGGCCCTCCGGGTGAACTCTATCTCCGCACCTCTCGCCAAGAAACACAAGGTCGAACCCATCAAATTTGGGACAACGGGTCTACCACAATCACCAGGACCGCACAGGGATGAGCTAGTAATCAGCATGGATATCCGGGAGTGGATAATCCGGCGAGTTCTGGTCGACACAGGAAGCAGCGTTAATGTCCTTTTGGGACGTGTTCGAGAAAATGCATCTGAGCAGGGCCGATTTGAGCCCCCTACAGACACCCCTGGCTGGGTTCACCGGCCACAACATTGATGCAGAAGGAACGATCATCCTACCAGTAGAAATCGGGGACGGCGAACACAGGGCGACGATCCCCATGACGTTTGTGGTGGTGCGGCTCAAATGCGCCCACAACGCCATTCTGGGACGCCCTGAACTGGAGGACCTCGAGGCCATCTGCTTCGTACGGCATTCCTGTATAAAATTCCCCACATAAACTGGGGTGGGTGTGGCCCGTACGGACCCAGACACGGCAAGAGCATGTTACAAGGAAGCGGTGAAGAGGATGACTGAGAAGGACATGAGGGTCAACAGCATTGCAGAGACAACCCGGCAGGAGGCCATATTCCGACCAGAGCCGGCTACTTTGCTGGAGGAAGTGGAATTGGACGATCCGTCCGATCGGAAGGTGTCCATTGGGACTGGCCTAGGGCCGGAAATCCGGGAAGGGGTGATCTTGATTCTCTAGAGGTTCAAAATCTTATTTGCTAGGGGACCAGAGGATATGCCAGGAATTGATCCGAACATCATCTATCACAGATTGAATGGCCATTCGGCCAGATGCCAAACCTGTACAGCAGAAGAAAAGGTACATGGAAGTCGAATGGAGGGACTTCATCAAAGTGGAAGTCACCACCCTGCTGGACATACGCCACATACGGCCTGTCATGCATGTGGAGTGGCTGTCCAACGTCGTCTTGGCACCAAAGGGAACTACATGACGGATGTGCGTCGATTACTCTGATCTCAACAAAGCTTGCCCAATGGACCCCTACCCCGTTCTGAGGATTGATCTGTTGGTGGATGAGACCGCAGGATGCGAGCTGCTCAGTTTTATGGATGCCTTCAGGGGGTATCATCAGGTATTCATGCATCCAGACGATGCTGAGAAGACTGCCTTCGTTACGTCAGACGGGGTGTATTGCTATGTGGTCATGCCGTTCGGCTTGAGGAATGCAATGGCCACTTTCCAGAGTATGATCGGGATATTGTTCAAGGACGTCCTTGGGAAGATCATGGAGGCATACGTGGACGATATCCTGATCAAGAGCAGGAAGAAGGAGAATCACGTACAGGACATGGAACGAGTTTTCACCATCATGGAGGGAGCAAACATGAGGCTAAACCCGAAGAAGTGTGCCTTTGCTGTCAAAGGGGGGAAATTCCTTGGTTACATGATGAGCGAACGGGGGATCAAGCCTAATCCCGAGAAGGTCAAAGCCATCATGGACATGGAGGCCCCCAAAAATTTGAAAGATGTACAGAGACTTACTGGGCGCTTGACAGCACTGAGCTGGTTTATGTCAAAACTGATCGATCGGGTGATCCCTTTCTTCCGGATCATGAGGAAAGCCAACCATTTGAGTGGACCCCGGAATGTCAGACAGCCTTTGAAGATTTCAAGACGTACCTCGTCTCGCCACTTGTCCTAACCAAAGTAGATCCCGGGGAACCACTATACATGTATCTAGCAGTAGCTGACCTGGCAGTAAGCTCCATCTTGCTGAAGGAGGTTGAGGGTGTTCAGTGGCCTATATACTTCGTTAGCAAGGCGATGAACGGCACGGAGACAAGGTACACATTGATGGAGAAGACGATGCTGGCATTGATCGCGGCAATAAAGCGCTTGGCGCCGTACTTCTAGGCACACCCGGTGACGGTGTTCACCACTAAGACTTTGGCCACTATCCTCAGAAATCCAATGGCGAGTGGGAGGATTACGAAGTGGTCCTTGATGATCGGGCAGTACAACGTGGAATTCAAACCGAGGCCGACGATCAAAGGGCAGGCACTGGCAAATTTCATTGTCAAGTGCACAGCACGTACGGAGGAAGGCGAATACGGCAGCAGTGACCTCGACAACTGGTGGGAAATGTACACCGATGGGGCAGCAAGTGCCAAGGGATGCGGGGGGGGGGGGGTGCGGTCATCACTTCCCCCGAGGGATTCAAGGCTTATTACTCCATGGAATTCAAGTTCAAAGTCACCAACAACGAGGCCGAGTATGAGGCTCTTATCGCAGGATTGAGATATGCGAGGGCCCTCGGAGCGGCTCGTCTGAATGTACGGATGGATAGCCAGTTGGTTGTGACACAGATGAATGGTACTGCTGAAACTCGGGAAGAACGGATGAAGGCCTACAGGGAACTGTCAGAGGAGCAGACTGCGCAGTTCGAGCAAGTGATCATAGACCTGGTACCTCGGGTAGAGAACGCTGAAGCTGATATCCTATCCAAGCTAGGCAATCCCCTATCCGGGGAACAGACGTCGTCCGTCCCACAACATATCCGGAATTTGGCTAGACAGGAGGCACTACTCCGACCGGCGACAGAGATGATCCAGGTAAATGCTGTTTCTTATGCAGATCCCAACTGGGTGAAGGAGGTGGCAGATTATCTCAGGAATGGAAAACTCCCCCTCGAGAAAGATGGACGCACCTCCGGAAGGGCCCCGTGGATAAAGAGACGGGCGGCGAGCTTCGAGATCATCGGGGGTGAACTGTACAAAAAGACGTTCGTCGGGCCATACCTCAGGTGCCTATCGCCAGACTTGGCAGCATCAGTCATGGAGGAATCCATGAGGGCATCTGTTCCAGCCACCAGGGACCCCAAACGTTGGCAAGGAAGATCATCCTACAGGGGTACTACTGGCCAACCATCCAGCGGGACTGCTTCAACCACACCCAGAGGTGTGTGGTATGCCAGCAGTACGCACCCATTCCGGGAAGACCGGCCAGCTTCTACACCCCGATGACCGTCGCCCTACCATTTGCAAGATGGGGGATAGACTTGCTGGGGCCCCTTCCCAGGACGACCGACGGCAAGAAGTTCATAATAGTGGCCATTGACTATTTCACGAAATGGGTGGAGGCCGAGCCATTGAAGAAGATCACTGAGTTCCAATATCAACGTTTCGTATGGCAGAACGTATTATGCGGTTCGGCATCCCGGAACAGATCATTACGGACAACGGTCGGTAGTTCGTCGGCAAGGGATTCGAGGCATATCTGGCCAAGTGGGGCATCCGGCATTCCAAGACCTCAGTCGCGTACCCACAGGCAAACGGCCAGGTGGAGAATATGAACCGGACCATCATGGATGGCATAAAGAAAAAATTGGAAGATTACTCCTCAACCTGGCCGGAGCAGCTGAATTATGTCCTGTGGACGTACAAGACAACTCCAAGAACGGTGACCGGAGAAACACCGTTCGCACTAGCATACGGGTTTCAGGCCAAGGTCCCCACCGAAGTGCTTGTGCCCACGCACCGGACTCTGCACTTTGACCCAGGACAGAACGAGGAAAATCTAAAGGCAGAATTGCACTTTATCGAGGAGAGAAGGGACCTAGCCGCACGACGCATGGAGGAATATCATCGGGCAACCGAGAGGTATTTCAACAAGTCGATGAAAATCAGAGAAACCAGGGTCGGAGACCTGGTGCTACGGAAGCAGGAGAAAGAGCAAGTCGCTTGAAGGAGGCAAGATGGCCAAAACTGGGAAGGGCCGTACAGGGTATACGAGAAGAGATTGGCGGCAGGAACGTTCCTCCTACAAACTATAGAAGGACGTTCCGCTGGCATATGGAATGTGGAGCACCTGAAGAGATTCTACCAGTAGGACCCCCCCCCCCCCCCCCCCCCCTCCCTAAAAAAACAGAGAAAGAGGGAGGGGGGAGACAAGAAGGAGGTATTCCATTCATACAATGTAACAGCAGGAATTAATGAAAACAAAGAGGCTTGGACATTAGCCCAAAAAGTCCTGTGGTTTTTTCCTTTCCGGGTTTCCACGATAAAATCACGATGTACATCGTCATCACAAAAATACTACGAGCCTCCCGGCGGAAAACAGCATCCCCTGCCGGACGGTACTAATCGCCCAAACGGTATAACCACCATACCAAAGACCTCTCAAAAACAATAGAGAGAGACATCAGGGAATCCCCAAAGGGGATAAACCCGTTCCGCATCACAATCGCGGCCGAGACCAGCTCAGGATTCCAAGGACCAGGCCAAATGGGCAGGTAAGATGAACGGATGACGGGACGAAGACCGGGGAATCCCCAAAAGGGATAAACCCGCTCCGCATCACAATCGCAGCCAAGCCCAGCTCAGGATCCACAGGACCGGGCCAAATGGACAGGTAAGACGAACGGACGACGAAGCAAAGCCAAAGACCTCTCCAAAAACAATAGAGAGAGGCACCGGGGAATCCCCAGAGGGATAAACCCGTTCCGCATCACAATCGCGGTCGAGCCCAGCTCAGGATCCACAGGACCGGGCCAAATGGGCAGGTAAGACGAACGGATGACGGAGCAAAGCCAAAGACCTCTCCAAAAAAAAATAGAGAGAGGCACCGGGGAATCCCCAAAGGGGATAAACCCGTTCCGCATCACCATTGCGGCCGATCCCAGCTCAGGATCCCAAGGACCGGGCCAAATGGGCAGGTAAGACGAACGGATGACGGGACGAAGACCGGGGAATCCCCAAAAGGGATAAACCCGCTCCGCGTCACAATCGCAGCCGAGCCCAGCTCAGGATCCACAGGACCGGGCCAAATGGGCAGGTAAGACGAACGGACGACGAAGCAAAGCCAAAGACCTCTCCAAAAAAAATAATAGAGAGAGGCACCGGGGAATCCCCAAAGGGGATAAACCCGTTCCGCATCACAATCGCGGTCGAGCCCAGCTCAGGATCCCAAGGACCGGGCTAAATGGGCAGGTAAGATGAACGGATGACGAGATGAAGACCGGGGAATCCCCAAAGGGGATAAACCCGCTCCGCGTCACAATCGCAGCCGAGCCCAGCTCAGGATCCACAGGACCGGGCCAAATGGGCGGGTAAGACGAACGGATGACGGAGCAAAGCCAAAGACCTCTCCCAAAAAAAAGAGGCACCCGGGAATCCCCAAAGGGAAAGAATAAGCTGAAAGACAAACGGGCGACAAAGTTTAAAGATGATCGCGGCAAGCAAGTAATACACTTTATTCATCGGCTCTACTGGCCGGAAGGTACAACATACACGAGTTCGGAGTGAAATCAAGAGTACAAAATAACCGAAACTGTCACGCCTCGGGGAGCTATCCTTGAATATAGATGTGCCTGCAAGAGCTTTCTATGAACCCAGAAGCGTGAGGGGTGAAGTAAGCCATCTTAAAAACATTAGCCGCTTCGGGAAGAACGACCTGCTAGCCAGGAGGTGCGGCTGGCAAGCAGAATTTGACAAACTCACTCAGCCAGGGGGGACCATCCTTCACCTGGCACTTGCCCTTCAAAGCCTCCCCATAAGCCTCAACAAACGAAGCATTGAAACCAGCGGCCTCAGGATCAAACGGGGCGGGGAGATAACGCTGAAGAGCCGGGAGGTTTCCGGCCAAAAAGCCGATCATCCCTTTAGCAAAGGCATCATCGGCAAGCTCTGCAAGGAACTCCTGGCCAGCGGAGGTCCCCGATACCATCTCAATGCCATCCTTCAGCGCGTCAAAGCTCTTGGCCAGGAACTCCCCGAAGCTCTGGGCAAGAGGCTCCTTCACACGGACATTCACGGCATCGACATAGGCACAGTACTTGTGGAACTCAATGGAGCCGGCCTCCTTGATCTTGGAAACATCAGCCTCAAAAACAGGAACGGCCCCATCCGTACAAACCAGGCAAAGCTGCACGTCGGACATCTCCACGGCGGCCATTTTGGCACGAAGCAGCTGCAGCTCCTCGGCTTGTTTCCTCACCGTCTCCTGAAGAGACATGCTTCCCTTAGCGAGCCCAAGAGCAGCGCTCAAATCCTGTTGCATCTTGTGCAGACGCTCTTTGGCCTTCTCACCAAATCATCGACTTCACAACGCACCTGAGCGGAAGCACGCTCCTGAGCTTCATAGGCAAACCGCGCCTTGCAGAAATAAATGGCGGCCTTGTTGAGTGTGCTAAGGCCACACTCATGAAGATCCACCGCGCTGTCACAAGCAGCAAAATCACGAGGGAGTTTCAACCCCAGAGAGCATCAAATGGAAGAGGTTGTCTGCCCAAACAACCTTTTCGACTCCGTACGGGGGCCCAACCCGGAGAACTCAATGATATCAGAAAACGAATCCTCTGAACCGGACGGAGGAGGATCGCTCGAACCTTTGCCCAATGAGGTGACGGGGTGCGGCTTAGGAGGAGAGGCGGCCTCAGTATCTGACCCATCAAGGACCACCACGGCCTTGGAGGATCCTTCCCCATGGCGGGACTTTTTGGGGGGCCGTTCATCCCCAGCAGGTTCGGCTTTGGGCCTTTTTGGCCTTGATCCTCACCAACGATCCGTTTTCCCTTACTAGCATCAGCCCGACCGGAGGAGGGAGTAGCACGGGGATGGGGGACCATGGCAGAAGACCTGGGATAAAGCCCAGCACAAATGAGATAAGAAAAATTGTCAGAACAATGTTTGGGAGTCACAAAAAAGAGAGTCCAAAACCCGGGCCACAGCGAGGACGTACCTATGCCGGCCTTGCCCAAGTTGGTGTCATTCACCAGCAAACGCAGGTTCTGGACCCCCTCACCGGCGATACGAGCGGCATGTTCCAGCTCGGCCGAATGGAGAACCGGAGGCTCAAACTTGACCAGGAAAGCATTCCACCGATCGGAGAAGGGGGGAGGTGAATCAACCCCGGCAAGGAAGAATCTCTCCTCCCAGCTGTTCGCATTGGAGGGGTTGTTGGAAAAGAGAACCCTCCACGAACGGTCCACTATGCTGAGATAACCCGTCTGGCCGTACGGGGAAAGCCGGAAGAAATGTAGAAACAACTTCACGGACGGCTCGACCCCCACATTGTGGCATCGGATTATGAAACCGACAAGAATCTGATGGGAATTCGGAACGAGTTGAGACGGGGCGATACCAAGTCCCCTGAAAAGAGAGATATGGAAAGGCAACAGCGGGAAAAGAAAACCCGCTGTCACAGAGTCCAGATGGACGACCACGTGGCCAGGTAGATGCCGCATAGGATGGCGGAGGAACCGTGCGTCCCAAACCCGTGGAGGGGGAAGCAGCTGGGGAATCAGGTTTTTCTCGCTAAGAAGCAGACGTTGGCGCTGACGCCGAACGAGATGAAAGTTAAGGGAGAAACGAGGAGGCTGGGGGGCATCCCACGCTTATAAACCGAAAGGTCATCCCCTGAGTTACAGCCGTCATCGGATAAGTTTCCGGAACGGCCATGGGCAGACGGCCTAGGGACAACGGAAGACATAGCAAGTACGGAGGAGAAAATTCAGGACTTAATAGGAATCTAGAAAGAGAAAATAATCTGGCAGAGTAACAGAGTAATCCCCCCGTTTTGGCAATAGGGTATTTATAGGCGAAAACCACCCCGGCTCCCAAATTGAGGGAAGACATGTGGCGGACCATGTTTGGTGCATCCTACGGCTGAGGGACGCTTCGAGATCCAAGCCGCCGGTGGCACGTACCGAAATCACCCCCCACAACGAGATGCAAAAAGGGGGGGGAGAAGAGAGAGAGAAGAAGAGGAAAAGAGCCCATGAGCAAAAGGAGCAGGGGTCGTTCCTCGTCAGAAGAAGAGGAAAAGAGCCCATGAGCAAAAGGAGCAGGGGCCGTTCCTCGTCAAAAGAAAAGGAAAAGAGCCCACGAGAAAAAGAAGCAGGGGCCGTTCCTCGCCAGAAGAAGAGGAAAAGAGCCCATGAGCAAAAGGAGCAGGGGTCGTTCCTCGTCAGAAGAAGAGGAAAAGAGCCCATGAGCAAAAGGAGCAGGGGTCGTTCCTCGCCAGAAGAAGAGGAAAAGAGCCCATGAGCAAAAGGAGCAGGGGCCGCTCCTCGTCAGAAGAAGAGGAAAGAGCCCATGAGCAAAAGGAGCAGGAACCGTCCCTCATAAAAAAAAGAGAAGAAGGGGGAGAAAGGAGGAAATTATGAATGAGTGAACAGAACGCAAGCCATAAAGTGCAAAAGGAAGCTTTATTCTTCGGCTCTACCAGCCGGAATATACAACTAAGAAAAAGGGGGGAACTAACAAAATCATGCAAGGAAGCCGTGAGGAGGGGAGCGTGGGGAGGCCGGCGGTTCTTCCGATGGCACAAAGGGAAGCTCGGGAGTGGGGGATCAGGGATTTCACCCCTCTGAACGGCCGCTACGCACTGCTCATCTCGGCCGAGTTTTCCCATAACTCGCCGAAGCTCGGCCCCATCAGTATAATCTTCCACGTTGAAAGGGGGACAGCCGACCAGAGGGAGCACACTCCTAAGGGCCTTGACACCTTCGAAGTACCCTTTGGCAAAGGCATCGTCGGCAAGCTCTGCAAGCCACTCACCACCAAGCGCGGTCTTCTCTAAAAGCCGCACCCCATGAACCAAGCGCTCCTTATCCGACACCGACTGCAGCTCGACCTCGAAAACCTCCCCAGCAGTTCCCCGACAATACTCGTAAGCGGCCTGAAGGAACTGGGTAGTTTTCTTGAACTCCTCCACATTGATGGCCAGGGTCAGAACGTCGCTGGGAGGATCTCCGCCTTCAGAACGGGGGGCAGGATCCGCGGCAGGAACAAAGGAAATCCCATGCTTCTCAGCAAGGGCCACCTTGGCAAGCAAGCCTTGTTTTTCATGCTCGCCCTGAGCCCGAACGGCCAGGAGCTCTTGTTGAGCCTGGGCCAGGGCAGCCTGCGCTTTCTTCACCTCCGCCTGAGCAGCCTCCCGCAGCAGCACGGCCTCCTGCTCTCTCTTGGAAGCCACATCGGTTTTCCTCTTGAGCTCGGCGAGATCTTTCTCCCGAGCGGCCCTGGCCTGCAACAAGCTCAGCCCAGCCTGCAAGGAAGGAAAATCGGTTAGATGGGAATGAGGAACGGTTTCAAAAATAACAGGGGGGAAATGTGGGGAACGTACCTCAAGGCTCAGAAGCAGAGCATTACCAACAGAGTCGCCCGAAGTACGACCAGAAAACTCCAGCCCGGCCTGAAGGGCAATGTCCTTCCAGACCTTAGAGATCGGACGAACGGCGGAGGGCACCATGACGTTCGTGGATTTAGGAACAGAGGACTCAATGTGCGGCCTCTTCGGCTTCTTCCCCTTGTCCTTTTCCCCACCAGCAGGGATACCAACGCCGATCGGGTCCACATTCAGGACCCGGTTATCTTGAGAATGATGGGCCTCAGAGGTTTGCCCAGTCACCTCGGCGACCAGAAGCCGCTCTGCTTCAGCAATACGCTGACTAGCCTGGGACGCGGCAGACGAAGTGGCCCTAGAAGATTGGGCGGCCGCACGAGGCTTAGCCAACGCCGCATGTTCCTTGTTGGCCTTTGCTTCACGGCGAGCCGCCATAGCTGCATTGTCCATTTTCTCTTGAGTAGGGGGAGGACCTGAAACAAAAAAGTAACGTTAGTACCGAGCGGTGCGAATCACAAAGGCACTCACCTCAGGGAATGGACCGCCCGGGCCCACAAGATGAACACAAGAGATCGCCAGTCCAGGGATCACGGGCGGTACCTATCCATGCGTCAGAAAGTGCCTCAATGGTCAGAAGGACCTTCAGCTTCCTAATGCCGCCCAGCCTCAGCTTATCCACGGCATCCCGCAACGTCGAGGTTAGCTCCGGCGCCTGAACCTTCGGAGGGTATCCATTCCACCTCACAGGAAGCCGCTCGTCCGCGTAGCGAATAAAGAAAAAGCGATTTTTCCAGTCGTGGATAGAGAAGGGAGCCCCCTCGAACAACTTTCTTTTAGGACGAGCGGCCACACTCAGGAACCCATCAGCATTTTGGGGAGTGACTTGGAAAAAATAATGAAAAAGCTCCAGTGAAAAGGTGAGCCCCAGAAATTTGCAGAGAACGAGGAAGGCAGAGATCAGATGGTAGGAGTTCGGCATGAATTGGGCCGGAACAACACTGTAAAACTCGAAGAAGTCAAGGTAAAACGAGTGGAGTGAGAAGCGCAGTCCGGCCTTTAAAGAATCCATATGCACCATCACCATGCACGGGCGTCTCATGAGGAGATTATCTGCGCCTCAGAGGCTATAGTAAGCAGGCGGGGGGAGAATAATTTGTAGTTCCCTCAGGGCCCTCTTGGAGAAGACCTGTTCGATCACGGCTACATTGGGAATAAGCACTATGTGCCTGTGCTGATCCATAGGGACGCCGAACTTATAGATCCGGAGGTCGTCCCCTTCTTCGGCCTCCTCACCCGAGTCATGATCGGCTGGATGCCCCACCGCCGCGGCAGGTTGTGCCATCATCGCAACGGCGTTCTCAGGATCGACGACCATATCAACATGTTCTCCTGCGACCGGGATTGCGGCATCAGCCACTGCATCAGGGACTGTCATCGAAGAAGCGCTGGAACGGCCAGAACCGCTCGCTTCCGCCGAGGAGCGGGATCTGAGTTCTGATGCCGAAGATGAACCGGCTGAAGAGCCAGTAGAAGAGCTAGAGCCAGTTTCCGAAGAGGAAGAAATCACCATGGAGCAGGCCATGGGGAGGTTTACGAAAAGAAAGGAAGAGGTCGGGATTAGGGAATTACCTTGCTAAAAGATTGGGGGAGAAATGAACACCGGAACTCGAAATAATCGTTGAACGGCGCTAGGAAGGCAAGAGGAGACAACGGATGAAAAGCCCTAATCTTTCCCATATTCCCGGTATTTATAAGGGGAGGCGCCGGATCAGTGACCAACCCGCGGGCGACACGTGGCAAGGAGCGTATACAGAGATGTGTGTCGCGTAGAGACGGGCTGATACGAAATGATTACTTTTGCATTGGAAGTTGAACCGGCCAGATAGCTGGCACCTAGAGCCCCGCGAACAACGGCGGGAAGCAACCATCACCTAGAGGAAAAGGGAGCAACAGCTCAAGGCGGTACGGCGGAAGTTATCTTACTTCTTTATGTCCCGCGCACGCTCGGAACATCAGAAGTGGGGGACTTGTATTGGGTTAATGGCCTACCAGGGCCGGCCCATTAACCCCTAGGGATGAACGTAGCCCTGCATAGCCAGGCCCCAGGGCCCAAGGGCCAGGGGACAAACGTAGCCCCACATAACCAGGCCCAAGGGCCAGAGGACGTACGTAGCCCAGCATGGCCAGGCCTCAGGGTCCAAGGACCAGAGGACGTACGTAGCCTCGTGGGACCAAGCTCCAGGGCCCAAGTTCCAGGGGACGTACGTCCCAGGGTAGCCAGGCCTCAAGGCCCAAGGGCCAGAGGACGTACGTAGCCTCCGGAGGACCAAGCCTCAGGGCCCAAGGGCCAGGGGACGAGCATCTTGTGGACTACGCTTAAGGGCCCAGGCTGCCACCAGAGGGCTGAGTCCAGTTTAGGGGACGGACGTCCCCCACGCTATGGCGGGAAACCAAGATCTTGGCGGGAAGCGCATTAAATGCAGGAGATTTAGTAGTTGGGATCATGTCACCCACAGCCGGCCACGTCAGCCCCCCAACCACCATGGGATACTATAAATAGTCGCATTTATTTCATTGTAAAGGGTTCGCCCTTCAACACTCTAGAATTGTAATAGCATCAACGGCACGTAGTTTAGCTCATTACGTTCGGCCCCTCGGCTTGTAATCGTAAAAGTGAATGAAATATAGTTATTAACCCACTCCCCGTTGTTTAGTGAGCTTGTTTTGCTTTCCACCCATTTGAAACCCCCAGGTTACGTGTTGGGCCTGCGGGTTGAGGGGAATAAACCTCAACAATAATTAAATTAGGTTATAAGTTCATAAGGTAATCAAGTTAACATGGCCTCTTTTTTAAGAAAATTACTCATTAACCAACTTCTCAGATATTAGAAATATAAGAAACAGAAAATTACTTATTCAATTTTCCAGATGAAATTATTAAAAAATGACTAATTCATGAAGCCATGAACATGTGCTTCATATAGGTGTCACCAATGGTTCGCAAGGAAATCGCACAGAGAGACAAAATACACTAACAAAGGAAAACTATCTCATACCCATAAAGTAAAAGTGTGAGACTAAGTTAGCAAATAATAAATTCACCTTCAATGTAATCATTTTCATTTTCATTTACCCCAGTGCCGCAAAGGCTCTCACCTACAATGGGGTAAGGGGGGTCGGATGTACGCAGTCTTACCCCTGTACTAAAACACAGACTGACTGCTGCTCCATAACAAAGAAGCGCAGATAGTTTAGTGAGTCATTTTGCTTTATTCCATCATAATCTCTAGCCAAAAAATAATGAATCTTTGGCTCCATTGCATGTGATGGAAAAATCACCTTCAATGTAATATTTGGAGAAAATGTTGAAGCAGGTGGGATCGCTTTGCAGGTTTATTTTGATTCTTTACTGCGAGCTTACGACCTCTCCCCTGGAGAAGAAAAAAAACGAAGAAAGATACATTTTGATGAGAAATGAGCGGAGAAATCCTGAAACATGTATAACCAACGCACAAGGCACCAAAAGTTCATTAGAACACATGCAAAAATATCTAGCTTCCGAGAAAATTCATTAACACACCTCGAGTTGAAGAAATCGGAATATATTAAAATAACTTAATTTCCAACTTCTCAGTTATTAAGATATAAGAAACAAACAAAAAAATGAATACTTCAATTTACCTGATGAAGGAAATGTTAGTCAAGTTAATATGCCCTCTTTCTTAAGAAAATTACTCATTAACAACCTTCTCAGATATTAGAAATATAAGAAACAGAATATTACTCATTCAATTGTAGAATTTAAGAAGATAGACAATACACTTCTTACTTTTAAAACTTTGTTTTGTTCGAAAAGAGCATATAAACATTTCGTCAAACATCATGTGAGCAAAATATAATTTGAGACCTATTAAAATAACTTGCTACATTTGGAAATCTTATTTCTCTTTCACTTGGTATTCATTTTGTGCTCAATTTTCTAATAGTCATCAGTTATAAGTGCATCACAACAATAACTCTAAAAGAAAACAAAGCTGAAAATCACGAAAATTTTAAACTAAAAAGTTAGTTTGAAATTTTTGTATAAAAAACAACCTAACCGTGTCACTTAAAAGTAGTAGTTCTTTTGTAAAAATAGTGTAGGTATACAAAATTAAATTAGGCTGTATGGGTTTAGCATTATGTTAATCCAAAAAACCATTAACTTTTAAAAAGAATAACTTGAATGGAACACCATACCTCAAAGAAGAAGATGCAGAAGTCTAATCTCAATATCCTTCAATTTTTGGCCCAAGACTTCACAGATACAAAGAAGGTGTGATTTCTTCATCCGCTGCGGATGAGAGAGGCAGACAAAGCTTATCGAGCACTTCAATTCCAGAAACAATCGCCGGCTTAGTGAGATTGTTTTTTCAGAAGAATAAGGTGGTAGACTGAAGAGAAGGGAGCGATTAGTTTTACGGAGAAAAATTACAGACTTCCGTGTTAGATAGGCGCGTATTAGATACATAGGGGAAAATTCTCTCACATGTAATGCCTTTTTTTACCCCGGAAGGTCAAGCACCAATATCAGTGTGGAAAATGTCGGGGGACATTTGCCGTTATTTTATAAATTGAAGAAAACAAAAGTAAATTTCGGGGGGACCAAACCAAAACCCGAAAAGAAGCAAGTACATTTAAATTCTAAGAGAAGGAATATCAAAATAATCCATCCAATAAGCTCTTTTAACAAAAATAGGAAGTAATTCAATGCTGGAAAAGAATGTTGGGTTATCAACTCTCTCCTGGGCCAAGTGGTGGGCAGCCCAATTACCTTCCCGGTATGAATGTCCAAATGCCAGTCGTTTCCTAATTCGGATCTGTGAGATTTCCTGAAGTTCATCCGCCCATCTTCTTCCTTCCCTTCCTGCGATATGCCCCAACGCAAGAGAAGAATCTGTCTCAGCCTGAAACTCTTCATATCCAGCATCAACTGCCCATCTAACCGCAAACAAGATAGCCTTAATTTCAGCGTCCAAGGAAGAGCAGCTGACCAACGAAAAGCTCAAAGCTGCTACAAAAACTCCACGATGGTTACGAAGAATAGCTCCTCCATTAGATTTATCAGGTAAATAGCTCGCATCAATATTGAGTTTCCATCGTTGTGTTGGTCTGTTCCATTTGATTATTTGTGGTTTGAAACCACGTAACTTAAAATTTCCTAGAATAAGGCCCTCTTCAAAGAGCATGGTTCCAATAGTTCTGATTTTAGAAATGGGTAAGGTAGTTACCCAAGATTGAATATAGAGCATGATTGTAGCAATGATTTGGTCCGAAGAAACCCTACCTCCCTCCCCAAATTTGATCTGCATAAGCTTTCCAGACGAACCAACATATAATACCTGGGATATTCCTTTTGATAGTGTCAATCAGGCTTTTATCTGCTATCTCAGATCTCCAGTAACCAAATTGACTAAAATACATCCCAGGTCTTTGATAGAAACCAAAGATAGCCAATAAATAATGCCAAACTTTAGTAGTGAAAGAACATTGAAAGAGAAGATGCTTCATAGAATCACTGCTGGATTTACACAACGGGCACATAGATGGATTGAGAACCAACTGGAATCTACTTAAGTTGTCTGAAATAGGAAGGATGCCTTTAGCAATTTTCCAAAGAAGTAGTTTAACTTTAAGCTCCTGCTGAGTTTCCCAAATATGTTGATAAGTGTAGGAGTTTAAAGTAAACTCTCTCACCTCATCATAGGCTGTTTTGAATGAGAACTGGCCATCTTCCTCTTCATTCCAGGTTAACTTACTAGAGTCATCAAAGGAGCAGATCTCTAACCCTTGGTCATTCACTGAACAAATCCTTTTCCACACCACCGAATCAGTAAGTTTTGGAACCATGCATCCTGCTCTATCATTTTCAGCTTTCATTACTTTGTTCCAAAGTAAATCACATGTATGCCACTTCCACCATAGTTTAAGAGAAAAGGCTTTCTCAATTTCAAGTAGAGATCTTATTCCCAAACCTCCTTCTAGTGTGGGAAAACAAAGTTTTTGCCATTGGATCCAATGATATTTCTTTCTCTCATGAGAGGAACCCCAAAACAATGAGGTCATCTTACTATTCAGAACCTTAATCACTTTCTTAGGATTAGTGTCAGCTGCCAGTAAATGTAAGGGAATGGAATTGAGCACATGTTTAATGAGAATAAGCCTCCCTCCTTGAGATAGATTTTTCTGTTTCCAAGGAGAGAGTTTATTTTCAAATTGCTTAATAATATTCCCACAAAATTAAAAATGATTAATGCCTTTATGAAGATTGACACCAAGATATTTGATAGGAAGGGAAGCCATTCTCATACTCAGGATGTCTTTAATTTTATTTTGCCTCACCAAAGTAGATTTTCCAAAAATAATAGAGCTCTTTGACAAATTAACAGCCAGCTCAGAAGCTTCCTGATAGGTTTGGAAAAAGTTCTTAAAATTTAAGAGAGATCTTGTATCACCATTCAGAAAAATTAGCAAATCGTCAGGAAAACCCAGATGGGAGATAGCCATCCCATGATAATCAGTCCAAAAAGGTTTAATCCTACCTTCTTCCATCAAAGAATTTAAACCCCTAGAGAATGCTTCCGAAGCAATAACAAAAAAATATGGGGATAGAGGGTCACCATGCTTAACCCATGTAGTAGGTTTAAAGAAGCCATGAGGAACTCCGTTAATCAGAATAGAGAGGTATGAAGCTTTTAGATGATTCAGAGAGCTATGCCACAGACACGACCTTTGCCTAGCACACACGGTCTGAGAAGCGAACAGACCAGCACACCTCCTGGCGAGGGAAGGAGCCTCGTCCATCCACCATTACGCTCCCTACCAACTCCCACCGCAGGTATACAAAGCTTGCATGGAAGACCGACAGAGACGGTGATATGCACTAATTAGTAGTGTATAAATGTATATTTTTATGATTGATTTGTGTGTATTGTTTACCGTTTTATTTAGTTTGTAAACATTTGTGTGATTTTAGTTGTAATCGTATTTTAATTCTCATTTATAAGTTGTAAAGTATAGTTAGGATTTGTGGTGTTGGAAAGGAAGACTTTGAAGAGAAGAAAACAAGAAATTTGACTGCCCAGGAGTGAAACCCGACCGGGTAGAACCCCCCACCCGGTCGGGTATGATTTAACAGACGAAATTGCCAAGAAAGTCACTGGACCCGGTCGGGTCCCCTACTTGACCAGGTCGGGTCAGATGTGACCCGGGACAAAACGACGTGCGAAGATCACCAGAACGTGGCGAATTATCTGATTTTGACCGGACCCGGTCGGGTAAGTACTTGACCCGGTCGGGTACCCGGCCAAAGATGTTGAAAAACACCTATAAATAGCACTCTTTTTCTCCTCTAAAAATCATCCCTTCTTCCATACTCTCTAGCTCAGTTTAGAATACTATTTCTTTATATTTTTCTAGCTATGTTTAGCCTCCAAATGAGGAGCTAAACTTCCATTCTTGGTGTTGCTCTTGAAGCTTGTTGATTATTAAAGTTGAGTTATTTTCTTAACTTCTTTCCTTGAATATTAATTAATAGTTCTTTCCTTAATACCATCTCTATATTGATGTTGAGGAGTGTTGCTAAGATGACAATTAGTTAACATCTCGACATTAGTTAGAATGATATTTTCTTCCTCTATATTAATATTGGGGAGTGTTGCTAAGATGACAATTAGTTAACATCTTGATATTAATTATAGTAGGATTCATCTTCTTTAATAAA